CCCTGAAGAGCTAGAATGGGACCCAGGGACTCGGGAACGCTTGGCCAAGACATCAGGCTCGACCCTGGGGCGATGACAAACCACTGGCTTTTGACTAAATGTTAGCCAATAGCACTATTTCTTAGCTTTTATTATTTTATATTTTTTTGTCCTTCAATAAGCTCTTTGATGGTGATGGCTTTGCAGTATTTCTCCATGTCTACCCAAGATTAAAAATGAAGCGCTGGAAATCCACAGGTTTTCTCCGGGTTTTACCACTTCCAGGTTTTGGGGGAACTATGAGTTCCTTCTTCACTCGATTTTAGTGTAAAACAAAATGAATTCTCCCTCCATCCGCCCATGTTACCACAGCAGCAATCTTAAAGGTGACACTACAGGAAGGAGGTCTTGACTAATCATAAAACGCCTAGGGAGGCCAGGCTCTGACGTTTATACAACGCAGCGATGACTCGTAAATCTCAAGCACTGAAGTCAAGAATGAGGAAAATAAAGTTTCAGTATGGCTATGCCTTCATGTTAGGCATCAAAACCCTTGCAGAACTTCTCCGAAGATCATCCCGAGTCTGTCCAGTCCCATGAGATGGACCTGAGCTCCGGAGCCCGGGGCCGCCGTGGGCCGCGCCACCCTGAGGCCGCCCAGCCTGCGGGAAGGCAGCATCTTCAGCAGCTTCCCACTGTACATAGTTTAAATGCAGACTCACTGATGACTAATTTTGATAATGTCGTCGAAGTATGAAGACTGCTTGAATTAAATGACTACATGGTCATATTTAACTTTTTTTATTATAAGACAATTCTGGCTTCTCTTATGCCATGTGAAATCCATCCTGCTGAACGCTCCCGACTATAGTCACGTCCTTCCTGCCATTTTAAAAACAATAATGGCAGACATGTGAGCTGCTGATAGTGCTCAGCAGGACAGATCAAACACACAGATGCAATTTCTGTATGTTGAACAGTGAAGTAGGGTAAAATTCAAATACTTAGAATCACTTAGTAGCTAGCATCTGATTGGTGCAAATTGAACCTTTCATAACGGGTTTTATTGTAAATAGTGTCATACCATTTGGGAGTTCTGCAATAATTTCAATTAAAGCCAATGCAAGTTGGGGGTATGAGATTTACATGATAGATATGTTAGTTTGTGCACAGATTATAAAGGGATTTTTTATTATCAATATTCTTTTTTTAATTGTTCAAAAAAAGCTGTAATTGTATTTTTTTCCTGAAATTTTTAACATTCTCAAATAGCGTAACTGAAAAACCCAGAAGGAAACAAACAGCCTGGCCACTTCATTCCAATGCCTTTCAGAACTACAGGCCCCAAGTCTCCCTCTTTCCTTTCCACCCTAGTTGTTAAATAAACACTAAAAGGTAGTTAAAATTTTTGGAATGTGACTTTCACATTGTTTGGAAGCAACAAAGATCCTAGTAATCATAATTAGTGATCAGTATATCCTCTCAGTTAAAAATTAAAATCAAAGTATTTAGAGGTCTACAAAATACATTTTAATTCCTTTACGATGAAATGGAAAGATGTCAATAATTTTAGTGATCAATACTCTTATTCACCTTTGGCTTTAGTTCCAAATACTTCATTGGAAGCTTATAAAAGATCAGTATCAAAAGCATACTATACAAATAGTACTTTGCATGTATGAGATTTTGGTGACCCACCACATACTTGACAGCTTAATTGCTAATGAAACAGAATCCAAAAAAGACTTTATTATAGAATCACACAATCTTCCTAAATATAGGAAATTCAAAAAAGAAAAAAATCAAAACTTACAGCAGAGCCAGAAGATTTGGATAATCTGTTCTCTTTCTTTCTCCTGCTCTAAAAAAAACCCTTTTCTGTCGTTTTGCCATGTATTTGGGCTTTTTATTATAAATATGAATATGAGAAAACAGCCTCTCAGTGAGGTCTGAATAAAGGTGGTCTCACTCTCAGAGAACCTAGGACCTTGGCAGAGGAGGCCTTTGTGAGGGAAAATGCTTCAATCTGATCCTCCTTCACTTATCTAAGAGCAAAGGTCCCAGATGCATGTTAACATTTATTATTCTAGATGGGGAATTCCCTATTGCTGAACTAAAGAATTTTCAGTTTTACCCCTCCCTTATGCAGGTGTCTATCTCTCACAAATCACAGAGGAAGGTGCCCTGATGTGTATTTCAATAGGTTTACTAATCAGAACACATCAAATTACCATGAATCATATTCATATATTTAATAGCAAACAAAACTCAATTTAACTCAAATCCAGCTTTCTTTCACGTTCATTTTATTCAAGGGCAAGCCTTTGTTTTTCTGCTTTTTTTCCTCCCTTTCTTTCTTGGACATCTCAACCCCCATTGACAACCAAAACAGATATAAATGTAAGGGGCTAATCCATCACGGGGTGAACCTGGAGAACATGCCCTCTGCCAAAATGCATGTGAATCTCTGGTACAGCTAAAATTCCAGAATCAAGCTGGTTCATTTTGCATGCTAAGCAGGGTCAAAAATGTGAGCTCTATGTGGCCATCCTTATATATCATATGAGCTCCAACATACAAAGGTTACCTATGTGAGATTGCAGCTGGGTTTCCTAGCACTTGATCCTAGCTCCTCCAAATCAGAGACTCCTCACTGAAAGACAAATCTGGTGATGTGATGATCTTCCCATAAAAAAAAATGCAACTTCTGAACCCTTATCCGTTGAAGAGTTGACAGAGAAGTTCAGAGATCATTGTTTAACCAGACAAAATGATGGAGAAAATATGTTTTCCAACAAGATCATAAAGCTTGAATAATGCAAGGAGACAAATGTACAGTGAAGGGCTGGCCTCTTTTCTACCAGCTCTAAATCTCCCTCCCCTGGTTTGTACACTGGGCCACTCACCACTTAGGTAAGGGCTAGTGTCTTCCAAGCCAGACCCAAGCCCCCAGATACCAAGGTGCCAGAAAGTGGCATCTTGGCATAGTTGGAGATCAGACAATTTCTGCATTTCATGGGGGGGGGGCAGGGGGCAGGGGCAGGAAAAACGGCATCCCAATGTAGTGAAATCTGCAAACAACAGCACATATATACACACAAAAAAAAGTTTGCATACTGCACAGAGCGCTTGAAGATCATAAATCTATGCATGAGGAAGATGTAGTGGAAATTTTGGGGAGGATTAGAGTTTATTTTTGTCATCTCTGTGAGACAGCTACTCATTCATCCAGATCACAGCTAAGAAAAAAGCTGGTCACAGAAATTAGCAGTTTCAGCTCAGCGGCGCAGTCGCCAGCCTGTGAAGGCAGAGAGAAATTGACTAATTAGCAATGCGCACTAAAACTTGACGGTTCTTTATAGAGAGAGGAGAGAGGAGAGGGACGGAGGGGGGCTCACTTTCCCCTCTTTCTTCCAAAGATGTTTGAAATCGCAGTCATTTACGCTCGACAATTTTTACAATAGCCTTGAGCCATAATTTTGCGAGTCTCTCCAGCATCCATCCCCCTGTACGGTCGCTCTCTGCTGGCCAAGCACGACCGTTTCTCTCCCCAACCGTGGATTTCCTATTACTCTCGTCACGACTCACTGCGCCCCGGGCCCAGGGATAATGATGTGTTGTTTCTTGGTAGCATAATTTGTCACACGCACATTTTTTCTTCTTCTTCTCTTGCAGAAAGCTCTGCCCCTCTCCCTCTCTCCCTCTCTCCCTCTTTCTCCCTCTCCTGCATTCTCTTGCTGTTGCTAATTCATGGGGATCAAATGATGGACGACAAAATAAATCGTGCAGAGTGACCGCCTGGAGTCGGGACCAGAAGGTGCCCCCCAAGGAGAAGGCGCCCACCACCACCACCCCAAGGAGACCGCAAACCTCCGGAAAGGAAGGACAATCGGTTTTGGGAGAAGCGTTAAGTGAGGCTTGACTTTGCAGCCGGTTGAAAGCAGGTAAGTTTCTGGCCTTGTGTGTATTAGGCTGTGTCTTTGGGTTGCTGGCGGGGGAGGAGGGAGAGCCTTATCCGAGGGGTGGGGGCAGTTGGCGGGGAATCGCTCCGAAGCAATACAACTCCTATTGCAAGAAATAAGCAGGGGAAATAATGAGGGGGAGAGAAGAGAGGAGCAGAGGAAAGGGGCCAGGAAAAGATGGGGGCACCCCGGCGCGCGGAGCGCGTGGGAGGTCCGGCCCGGTCCGGTTCCGAGACTCTGGAGATTGTTCGGGAAAGCCGGGCTTTGGGGGCGGGGGCGCCGTGCGGGCGGGCGCTGGAGGGCGCGGGGGCGCCCGGAAGGCTGGTAAGTGAGCGCTCCGGAGCCCAGCGGTGCGGACGCGAGCCGCGGTCCCGGTGAGCCGCCGGTTAGCGGCGCGGCGGGACCCCCGCAGCCGGACGGCGGCTCGGCGGGCTCAGGCGGCCGGCGGGCGGCGGGGCCTGGAAGGCGCAGCCCAGGGTGGGACCCGGCGCGCCGCCTTGCCGCCGCGGCCGCCCAAAGAAGTAGTTCCATGGCTGGGGAGGCCGCGGGCCCGGGCCCGGGCGGGGGTCCCCGGCCGCCAGCCCAACCCCGCCCTCGCCGGCGCCGCCCGCGCTGCCAACTTCTCGGCGCTCGGGGCGCGCAGCGCACCCCGGCCCCGGCCCGCCCGGCCCCGCGTCCTCGGAGGGCGGCGCCCTGCCCAACTTCGGCGCCCGGAGATGCGGGCGGGCCCGGGGCGCCAGGGGACGGCGAGCGATCGGGAGGCCGGCCGGGCGCGGGGCGGGGAGCAGGCTGCCGGGAACCCCGCCCGGACCCTCGCGGGGGCGCCGGGCACCGGGAGCACTGGCCTCGCCCGCCCTCGCCACTGCCGGGCGCCCCCGGCCCCCAAACGGGGACGCGGTGGGGAGCGCAGGGGGCGCAAGGCGGGGGGGCCCTCGGCCGACGGTGCCCGGCCCGGCGCCCCGCCTCTGCCCGCAGCCGCGCAGGGACGCCGGCCAGCCGCGGGGCCTCGGCCGCCGGAGCCGGGGCGGGGCTGGGAAAGTGCGGGGCCAAGTGCGGCGGCGGCCCGGGCCGCGGGGAGCGGGCGGCAGCGCACGGGGCAGGCCCCTGGGTGGCGCTCCGGGACCCGGGCGGACCTGGATGGGCTCCCACGCCGGGGTCCGAGGCGCGCGACTGCGGCTCTCCGCCCTCCCGCCCCCGGCCACACCCCACCCCTCACCTCCTTCTCCTCCCTCCCTCCGCCCTGTCTGCCAGGTTGGAGGCGGGCTTAAAGCCAGGTGCGCCCAGCCAGCTCGCCATGTCCAGATCCGGGGACAGGACCTCCACCTTCGACCCCAGCCACAGCGACAACCTGCTGCACGGCCTCAACCTGCTGTGGAGGAAGCAGCTGTTCTGCGACGTGACCCTGACGGCCCAGGGCCAGCAGTTTCACTGCCACAAGGCCGTGCTGGCCTCCTGCTCGCAGTACTTCCGATCGCTCTTCTCCAGTCACCCGCCCCTCGGGGGAGGCGTCGGCGGCCAGGACGGCCTGGGGGTCCCCAAGGACCAGCAGCAACCGCAGCAGCAGCAGCCGCCGCAGGAGGAACCCGGGACACCTTCCTCCTCCCCCGACGACAAGCTGCTGACCAGCCCCCGAGCCATCAACAACCTGGTGCTGCAGGGTTGCTCGGCCATCGGGCTGCGCCTGGTGCTCGAGTACCTCTACACGGCCAACGTGACCCTGTCCCTGGACACGGCGGAGGAGGTGCTGTCCGTCAGCAAGATCTTGCACATCCCGCAGGTCACCAAGCTCTGCGTGCAGTTCCTCAACGACCAGATCTCGGTGCAGAACTACAAGCAGGTGTGCAAGATCGCCGCGCTGCACGGCCTGGAGGAGACCAAGAAGCTGGCCAACAAGTACCTGGTGGAGGACGTGCTTCTGCTCAACTTCGAGGAGATGCGCGCCCTGCTGGACTCGCTGCCGCCCCCCGTGGAGTCGGAGCTGGCCCTCTTCCAGATGTCCGTGCTGTGGCTGGAGCACGACCGCGACGCCCGCATGCAACATGCGCCCGACCTCATGAAGCGCCTCCGCTTCGCGCTCATCCCGGCCCCCGAGCTGGTGGAGCGCGTCCAGTCCGTGGATTTCATGCGCACCGACCCAGTGTGCCAGAAGCTGCTGCTGGACGCCATGAACTACCACCTGATGCCCTTCCGGCAGCACTGCCGGCAGAGCCTGTCCAGCAGGTAGGAGACACCCCCAGGGGCCGGGGTGGGGGAGGGGTTCCGGGCGTGCGGCCCCACCGCGGGAAACCCGCGCAGACACCCGCCACTGTGCCGGCAAAGTCGGCTTCAGGGCCCTGAAAGGTCGAGGGGAACTGGCCTAACAGCGCCTGAGCGCGAGAAAGCCCGGGTTCCCTGCTCCCTGGGGCGAGGAGCGTGGCCCCTCTGGACCGAACTTGGCAGGCAGGCGGGGCAAAGGCCGGGCGGCCACCAGTGCAGGTTGGAGCCTCCTCTGCGCAGTCCTCCCTCCAAACCCCGATGAGCTTGCTGGAGGAAAGGGATTCTGAGAGGACAGTCCCCACCCCACTCCACCTTTCTCTTGCCTCGGGCGAGCAGAGGTACCCCGCGAGGCCTCGAGAGGAGAGCTTTCATTCTTTTTTATCAGACACTCAGGTTGGGTTTTCTTGTTTGTTTGTTAGGGAGGGTCCAGTTCTCCTTGGAGGTTAGTGCTCCAAAGGCTTTGGCTGCTAGGGTCGCCCTTGGAAATTCCTCCTCACCTACCCAAACTTCTCTATCTTGCGGAAAGACTTTCCTTTTCACTTTGAAGTGGAGCAAGGCAAAAGGTTTCAGGTTGTCAGAGGGAGTCATGCCTAGTGCTCCCATCTCAAAGGGGAGCACAGCCCACCATTGGGAGGAGGGCGGTCGTCAGCTCGTTAGGTCTCTGTGCCTGCTTGCAAATCACAAAGAAGTTGAGGAGTCGCAGTTGCTCTTGTTGTTTGGAAATGTTTCTCAGTGTTGCAAATAAGATTTCATGTCAAAGGGGAGAGAGAAATGATGCCTTTCAAAATGCCAAGGAAACCTTGGGAATTGACAATCGTGTTTCACTGGCTCCAATTTTAAAAACCCTTTTGAATGAGCCCTAGCAGGGGGCTTCTTTCTCTTTTTAGAAAAGAGAAGCAGTATCTTCTCAGGGTTCTCGTGATAAAATATCATGATCCCAGATGCCAGGCTACCCAGCACAATCCACCAGAGCATTCTACTAGAAAATCCATGGTTCGTGACCCTGCACGGCATTTTCCCATTCAGGAAGATGTCCGAAGGATGAAGTCCACTTTGTGCAACCTTATGGAATTAAGTATTTACTGTTTCATCATGACATTTCTCCTGGACTCACATAACTAAAGTTTTCAGAAATGGAAGATATTTTGTACAGATGTTTAGGCAGCTCTGGTGTTCAGGTGAGGCTCACAAGAAGCACGGGAAATCCTGACCTCAGGAATCTCTTAAGTTGGTTTTCTGTCTGTGAGAGACGATGTATTGAATTCTGTCAAAAGATGACAGTAGGACAATAACACGAGCAAGAATCCAAACCCTCATGGGGTTGAATGGTGAGCACTGGAGTCCAAGTGAGCATGAGAATTTGGAATATTTATATTTTGTAAGAGCTTTGGATTTGTCTAAAGATCAAAAGCTTAGTGACAGGCAAAAGGGGGGTGAATGGTTATAGTCCTGAACATACATCTGTTCATAGTTTTTAAAATATATACAATCTAGTATAAATTCAGAAAGCAAGAGGGATAATAAAATTAAGATTTTACTTGTTCTAAGAGTAATTTTGGAATATGAGATACTATACATTTGGTCCAATAAATAATTTCTGAACCCAGATGTACTTTACCTAAGTATGTCCTAGGGCTCAATGTTAGAAGAGTTGCCTTTCAAAATGCAAAATCCATTTCCCACCTCGTCTGGATTCAGCACACCAGCTGGGGCCTGCTGGCTCTGTCCTGGTGGATGACTGAGATACCAGGCTGCCTGGCTCCGTGGCGACACCTTCCAGCTCCACTGGGCCATGTCATTTGAAGGATATGTAGTGGTGTCTAACCAATGAATGCTTACAAGTGTCAGGATGCTGCAAGAATCTGATACTTCTGCGGTAGGAAGAAAACTATTTTCTTTTAAAAGCGGAAGATAGAGAAAAGAAAACAGCTCATGTGAATCTATTTTATCTCAAAGTAATATAATTTAGACTTTGTTCCATTATTGATAACTGTAGCATTTTAGTTTTTAGGGACTAATTACTTTATTATAATTTTCATTCACAGAAAGAATGCAGAATAACCATCAAGATCTTAACTTTAATGCAGACAAAAATACTGTAACCAATAGTATTATATCTTCCCATTTATAACAGCATCAGCATAATATAAAAATGTCCTCATGCAGTTTAACACAGGAATGTGTTGTTTTTGCTACTGCATCATTTTTACTTAAGACCCTTGAGAAAGGCATTGTATTCATTACATTTTATCCACCTGTAGTTTTTAAAGTCTAAATATGAAGAGTTCCTCAAATTCAAAAAAGGAATTGGAAAATTGAGATTGACAGATCTGTTGGAATAAGTACAAACCATAAGGAAATAGGATAACTTCAAAAATAATTTACCTGTCTGAGAATATATATTATCTATAGAAAGTAGGGTTATTAATATAATAATAATATTTTTTAAATGTTTAAAAAAATTACAAAGTAATTTTGAATTGCTTAAGTCTAGGAATAAAGCAACCCAAGAGTGAAGACTTTGTAAGTGCCCAAATTAATTTTCAACTTTCACTCTAGTCACTTAGATTTTCTGAATATGACATTTATACCCAGATTCATATTTTAATTTAGCAAACTAAGTACTAAGGATGATACATAAAAAATAAGATACTTATTATTTTATATTTAAATATTTACATAACTAATTTAAGACAACAGGACTTGAGTAGACAAAAATTAAAATATTTTGAACTCATATCTTTGTTATTTTTGTTTTATTGCAAGAAACAGGAATCTTAAGAAATAAGTTCTTTAAGAAGTTTCTGAAAAAGTCATTATTAGAGGCTTCTAAAGCATGACAATTTAATTTAATGCAGTGGCATGATATACAATGTTTAGTACTTTGAAAGTAAGTGTCAAAAGACACGTAGTCTGTTTAGCATAAGTAACTCAAAAAGCTTCTTTTTTATTTATATTTAAAAATTTTTGTGACATAGTAATTGTCCCAAGCTAATCAAATTGGACTGGGTTAATTAACTTTCATTTTACATTTTCATTGCACCTCACAATATAACAGCTAAATCAATACTTACTGACAGTCAGATGAACTAAGGTTATAAAATAAGAGCACCTCAGGATTTCCCTTCACCAATGTGTTCCCTCAGTGCATGCTACTATTGCACATAACAAAAGTCTTATTGAACCTTCTACAAGAAAACACCTGTAAGGGAAAAGCACTCATGAAAATAAGTATATTTTTTTAAACGTTTAACCACCAACCACATACAACCTGTACTGAAGTGTAATTTTGAAGAGATTGCATTTTATAGAAGAGAGATATCTACCTTATAAAGACTTCACTTTCTATGAAACAGTCTATTTAAACATTTCACATAAATTAATTAAAAATCTATTTAAACATCAAGAGTACGATTATCTATTTGCTAAAATGACTTGCAATAATTTTAAAAACCATTAGATTTCCTAACATAGTTTTGATTCCTGGCTTTGGTGCTTAGAAAGTATTTCTTTAAATGTAGGACAATATTTTTTCTATTGGTTCTTTCCCTAAGACCTGAATAACAGCCTTAACAAAGCAAACTAATCTTGCATCCATGCATTCTCTAAATTGTTACTTTCCTTCATATCAATTTGATACCCTCAGATTAGAAGTTGTTAGGTACTAAGATTTTGTATCAAATTACTCAACCATTCAGAATACAATTTGTTTATTATCTGAAACAGGACCATTGATTACAAAATCATATCTCAGGTGTGGGAGCCAAACAGTTATATCCTACAATCAAAAGGCAATTAGAGTAGGTATTAATGCATTGTACTAGTTTAGAAGACTACTGATGGAAGTGGACACATTCAAATTTTAATTCATTCTTGTATTTTCCCTCCATAATTATGAACATTTTAAGGTTCTCTCATTACCTTAGCTAATTTCTAAGTACCTCAATTTTCTTAAAAATACAGTCAAAAATATATTCTTTATTTACAGCACCTGCTTCATTACCAGGTGATAGTCTAGGCATTTTACAAATGCTAAAGTACTGAATGCTTTCAAGAGCCCTTAGGGATGGGACCATCATTAGTCTTGTTTTATACTTAGGGAAACTGATAACACAGAGGAGTTCAGCATTTTGCTCATGTTTGCACAGCTGAGAAGTGGCGGAGGAAGTCTAAGCCCAGGCAGTATGGCTCTGGAGTCAGTGTTCTCCTCCACAGTGTTTTGCTTCTTGCTCGGAGCCTCTCTGTTAGGATATAATCTGCAGATTACCCTAGGAATTATGTATATGTAGACTTAAGACTTTCCTTTTGGAAAGAATCTTGTGAGGATTAAATATTAATGGATCTGACTTCAAAAGAAGTTAAGGAGAGGTATTGTTCTAGGCCTGGGGTCAACATTTTTTTTTCTGTAAAAGACTAAATAGTAATTATTTTTTACTTTGAGCGTCACACAATCGCTGTTGAAACTACCCCACTCTTCCCTTGTGGTACAAAACCAGCCATAGACAATACATAAATGAATGGATGTGGCTGCATTACAATAAGATGTCATTTGTGGGCACTGAAATTTCATATGATTTTCTTATGTTGTGAAATGTTATTCTTCTTTTAATTTTTCAACCATTTAAAAACATAAAAACCATTGTGTGTGTTTTTATAGATTCTATTATGGGCTGGATCTGTTGTGTGAGTCCTAGTTTGCTCAGCCCTCTTGCAGGCATGCAGAATACATCAATGAACAAAATGGATGTGATATTTTGCCCTTATTCTAGTGGAAATAATCCCATTGGTCTTTCCACTTCCACTTGGAAAAAATTCACATCTATGTAATTCTACCATGTCAATTTCTACTCCAACTTTCCATAAGAATTGAAGTATTTCCATTAAGAATTTAAATAGCAATCTCAGGAAGCTACGTAGTGATTAAAACAGTGAATGAGTTGCTCATTTTTTCAAGCATACTGGAT